ATACACCTGGCAGCAGAGGAACTGTACAACTCCCTCAGCTCGAGGAACAGCACCAGCCTCTCGTCCTGCAGCTACACCAGGTGAGCTCCATCCTGAGGAGGATCAACACCAACAAAGCTGCAGGACCAGACGGGGTGTCAGGTCGGGTTTTGAAGCTATGTGCTGACCAACAGGTAGGAGTTTTCTTGGACATTTTTAACCTGTCCCTGCATCTTGCTTCAGTCCCTGTGTGCCTCAAGTCCTCCATAATTGTGCCTGTGCCCAAGAAATCAGCTGTCACCTGCCTCAATGATTACCGCCCTGTTGCTCTGACACCAGTAATTATGAAGTGCTTTGAGAGGATCATTCTTAAGCACATTAAGGACGTCATCCCTGTTGGTCTGGACAGTCATCAGTTCGCCTATAGAGAGAACCGATCAACAGAGGATGCTGTCTCAATAGCATTACACACAGCCCTGTCCCACCTGAAGCATCCTAACCCTTATGTCAGGATGCTATTTGTTGACTTCAGTTCGGCCTTTAATACTGTAATCCCAGACAAACTGGCACTGAAACTGCTCAATCTGGGACTGCCTGCAATGATGTGTCATTGGATTAAGGACTTCCTCACTAACAGGCTTCAAGTGGTGACAATCGTAAACTACACATCATCCACACTGGTCCTGAACACAGGCGCATCACAGGGCTGTGTGCTCAGCCCAGGGGCCTATTTCAAGAAGGCGGTTTAACAAACTCAGAGTTCAAACCTGAACTCTGAGTTGACTTACTCAGAGTTGGAAAACTCTGAGTTTTCGGTTTCAGAACAGCTGAAAAGAGTTGGTTTAATCAACTCTGAGTTGTCTGACTCAGAGTTAGGCGCGTGCCACGCGACTATAAAGAGCCCTGAACAATGGAGTGAAGACATTACGAGTCACCATGGCAACAGGACTAAGCCAAAATCGGTCTGCGGTTTTTTCCCTGACAGAAATGGATGTGCTACTACAAGGATATAGTGACTACGAGCCCATATTTCGTAAAAAAAAACAAAAAAACAACACGGCTGCAGTGGCGAAAGAGAAAGAGTTAGCTTGGGGGAAAATAGCTGCCCGAGTCAATGGGTACGTTTACATTTTAATCATACAGTGTTCGGTGTAAGTAATTACTAACTAATGTTAGTAATGTTATTATTTGTCACTTGTAAAGTAAGGAATGGTTCTTAATTCTTCAATAATTGAATGAGTAACTTCAGTAATTGCATAAAATACCGATTTTTGTACGAATTAAAAGTGCAGTTTTATGTCTACCCTTTCTTAAAATTCCTATTGTGGTTGATATGGGATTTGTAAAGTAATGATTAATAAATAATCCAGTATGTTTTATGGAGAGTAATTATTACATTAATCAAAATACTTTTTTAAAATTGATCCAACACTGATGTAATAATATAAGAATTGAATTTTAATTTTCATGTAGGTGCATTGATGGGAATATGTGTGCCATCAATGCATCCAAGCGCATTAGGAAATCCTGAAGGGGATTCTAATTATTAGTTTATTTCCAGAGGTCACAGCAAGATGTTATTAACTGATCATCATTTTTCAGATTAGCCTTACTGAAACGAATTCAATACCACTAACCTGCAATCCTGTGAAACTCCTCTTTAATGGCTCTGAGGGGTTTGTGCCCAGGAAACCCAACAAAAATTCACAGAAAGCGCTTGAGGGTGAGGCACACTTTCCAAACTATTCTACATACTGTGGCCTTACTTGCTCTGCATCCCCGATGTTATAAAGAAAACTGCCGTTTGCAACAAATTGTAACGCAACACAAAGCATCTGCTCGGATGTAAGAGCACGGCCACGATGGGTGATGTGTCTGATGTATGGGTGGATAAGATTATTGATATATGTTATGGACTCTCTAGAAAAACGGTACCGCTCAAATAAAAATACATGGGGATATGACAAAAAATCAACTCATGGCCTCAATATCCTCTCCTGACGTAAATTCAATTCCCTGCGAATTAATACAGCGTCCTCATCTACAGGATCCTCTATGAATGGACACGCCATTTTGGTCTCTGCGTGACGGAAACGTGTGCAATCTATGAATGTACTGAAAGATTAAATGAGGTATTAAACACCTTTCACTTTAAAAAGGGGCGGAGACCCGGAGGAAACTCTGAGTTTCCCGAACAAAACCTGCTCGCCAGCAGGTTAGGTTCACAGAGTAAGTTGCCATAGTAACTGACTCTGAGTTTAGATTACCTCTCTTTGTGAAACGGGTTTAACTTACCCCGCTTTCACGGGTTTAAGTTACCTCCGTTTCTGAAACCGAAAACTCTGAGTTTCCCTCATTTCGGGGTTAACAAACTCTGAGTTTTGACAAAACCGCCTTCTTGAAATAGGCCCCTGTACTCACACTGCAGAGTTGTGTTTTTGTTTAGGCCACAGTTTGTACAATAGAATTGTCTGACCATAATCATACAGGTACTGTGCCAGATAAATAATTATTACCTGTTACACTGGGTTTCACATTTTGAGTCAAAGGTCTATTAAACATGGTCAACATGCTTAAATGACATTAAGAAATAAATAGTAAAATATGCTAGAATGAAGAAAAAAAGTTCTTTGTGAACATTCATTTGAAAACTGATATATCACACAGCTACTGTCATAACCCCACAGTTATGTGGACTCTGTAAAACAATACTGTCAGTAAAGCTTCATTAAAACATATGGGCAGAACGAGCATTTAATAGCCTTGTATCACTGGACCCCCGGTATGGGAACATACTTTCTGGGGTGACAGTGGTGCAGTGGGTAGAGCAGTCGTTTCCCACCCAGAAGACTGAAGGT